ACAGAGCAGGACTCGGGAGGAGGGACAGACCTGGACAGCCACAGCCATGCCCTCGGACAGGCACAGCCTCCTCCTCCTCCCCAGGCCACGGAGACATCCCTGGGCAAGGCTGCTGTGATTGCCTGGGCCATTTCTCTCCCAAACTTGTGCTTGTAGCCTCTAAACTGGCTCAGTTGCTCTGCTCTAAACCACCCTCCTTTCTGGCCAGAGGGGTGGTAGGTGGATGCCCCCTCTGCCCAAGCCAGCTAGAATTCAGGGCTCCGGCTGCTGGTCCCTCTGATTCAATCTGCCAGACACGGTACCCCATAAGAACAGGGGTAGTGGACTTCTGGGCCCCAGAGCCTGGTATGAGTTGGGTGCCAAGTCCCTGACCCTGGGCAAGAGGGGACAGGCAGAGGGTGCAGCAGGCAGCCACATCGGAGATGCCCCAGCTCCCACCCCCCAGCAGCTCTCGCTCCCCTCTGCTCTCCAGGTCCCCCAGCCCAGCCTCACCCCCAAAGTAGGAGCCATCAGACAGCTTTGTCTCCTTGTTGCCCTTGGTGAGGATGCTGACCACCCCGTGCTGGATGAAGTACATCTTTTTGCCTACAGTGCCCTCGCGGATGATGAAGTCCCCAGGCTGGAAGACCTCAAAGCGCAGCTTGGTCAGCATGGCTGTCACAAAGTTGGGGTCCGCATTGGCGAACAGGGGCATGTTGGCTACCAGGTTGCGGCAGTTGAAGTTGATGATCTCCTGTGGGGTGAGGAGCAGGTCAGCGGAGACATCGCCGAGCCTGACCCTAGCAACCACCGGCCCTCTCCCCCAAGTCACCCGCACTGGGGTGCCTGCCCCATACCTCTTTGAGCGGCTCACTGAGCTCCCCCAGAATGTTCTCCTCGTCAAACATCTTGCCTTGGTAGCGGTGCTCATAGTACTCGTGGATCCTCTGGCGCGTGTCCCCAGGCAGCTTGTGGAATGACATGTACTGCTCCACTTGCTTGTACTGTGGGGACAAGGCAGAGCCACACAGGGCTGGGCTGAAACAACCTGCACCGCGCCAGAGGCCGGCGGCACAGCCAGCCAATGCTTTCCCTCTCCTCGGTGGTGAGAAGCAGCTGCTGCCGGAGCTGGGATCCAGGCACCCCTGCTCCAGGGCCCTGTCCCAAAGGCCACCTCCAGGGCAGAGGATGGGACCCCCGTGCACCCAGGATGCAGAGGGTCCCAGGACAGAGGCCAGGACAGGGCCTCACTATGCTAGGGTGAACCCCAACATCATGAATGGGGCGTCTCTATCCAAATGGGCAGCCTGACACCCACCCCACACCCCCCAGGTGAGCGGCAAGGGCAGAGATCAGGGCAGGAATCTGCAGGGCAGGGCAGCCCGCACTGAGCTAGTTCTGGAGCTGGACCCACTCGTGCCAGGGCGTCTTCCCCCAGTACTCAGGCACTCACTACTCCAACCCGCTGACCTTCTCCTGGTACTGGCGCCGGGACGAATCCAGCGACTGGATGAGGGCGGTGGCATGGCCGATGAACATGGCGTAGCAGGTGGCCCCCACGATCATGCTCAGCATCGTGAGCCAGACGTCGGTCATGTTTTTGGCCGTAGCCGATGCAGAGCATGTGGCTCATAGCCTTGAACAGGGCGTGCGAGTACTGCCTCCCCCAGGAGTCGTTCTGCAGATGAGGGAACAGCGGCGCTGGGGGGTCTGTCGGAAGGATCTGCTGGGCTGAACCCTCCAGTCCCCTCTCCCTAAGCCAGGGAGTCCAGAGCCCCAGCGAGAAAAAGGTTTCTAATGTGTCCAAGCCCAAAGGGCAGAGCTCTGCTCCAGGAGGCACTGGGGAGTGTGTGAAGCCCTGAGCCCCAGCCCCTGCTCTGGGGAGGAGGCAGGAGCCCCACTGCCCTGTTCCCTCCTGGCAGGCCACGAGGGATTCCCCCGGCTGCTCCGACTCCAAGCAGCTACCAGGGTGAGCTGAGATGGGAAGGTGATGCAGAGATTCCCTCTACCCCCATCTCACTTCTGCCGCAGGGCTGTGACCAGAGAGACACTGCTCTGCGGCA